ATAACGTTATGGCGGATTCTTTGCCGGAACTCAAAAAGAAATTGTGATCCCTACTCAATCCAGAAAGATAATGTGATTATTATTAAAACTGGCGCAATACAATCTTCTGGGTTCAACGATATTTGACTTTGTATTGTACCAAATTACTAACAAGCGATAATTAAACACGCTAAGAGAATAATAAGCCATGTGGAATTCTCTCACAGGACTCCGTGAACCAAGTGTTTTTTAGCCGTGTTTAACATCTTGCAAAAATTAATATCTTCACCAATCGTTGCTATGCGGGAAAAGGAGAGTTTTTATCATGTGTTTTGATTTTTCGATTAATTTGATACTGGCGAAATAGTAAACGGATCTGTCTCGTTACAAGCCCCACAGCTCGACCCAGGCGTTTAATAAGCAGGCAATCCTACTGCCGACAGCGTCAAAGCTGCAAGACTCGTCATGTTTCATTGGAGCAAAGCGTTGGTAATTTGATCGGCAGTTGGGAGAAAAACTAACTTTAAAGAATCCCAACCGAGGCTGGCGGGAGGTCTTTAGTTTTTTGGGGTTTTTTTTTTATATATATATTTGTTTGTTTCTTGTTTTTTGAGGGGTTTTTTTTTTGTTTCTTTTTAGGATTTTTTTTTACAGTTCCAGTTGCCTCCTGCTAAATGTCTATGTGACCGAAGACATCAGAATATTTTTGGCACTTCCTTTTTAATGGAATTTAGTGTTATAATCGACGTGACGGATCTACAGGACTAAAGCAATTTATTTGGGGCCATTCCTTCAGACTTAAGTGATGACGCCCTACTTTTTACTAGCAAGATATCACCTTTCTGGCCTGAAATATTTACTGTTTAGCACAGGGGTATAACGTATCTCTTTCTCAAATACCGTATATATATATATATATATATATATATATATATATATATAATGCACAAAATGTCAGGATGTAGTTAATAAAACACTATGATGCGAACAATATTTAGTTCTTGCAATCAAATAAAAAAGACCAAAACCACGAACATTGAACTATTTATCCGTAATTTTAAAACATTTGTGCAACAACTTATTAGAAAATTGGAAAATTTGTGGCATGCACAAGCATAAAATTAAATATTAAAAAATTAAATAAGGCATTTGCTTTCCTTAAATTTAAATAAGGCATTTGCTTTCCTTAATAATCCATCTCTCTCTTTTTCTACCCCCCTCTCTCTTTCTCCCTCTCTCTCTCTCTCTCTCTCTCTCTCTCTCTCTCTATCTATCACAACTAATGCGAATACAACTCTCGTATAAAATGAAGAAAGCAGACAACGACAGCTGTGAAACAGAAGTTCGCTGGTCAAGGGTATAGTTTATTGTCACTAGAAATCGACTAAAACAAGGGACACTTTGTGAGTGGTATGTCATCGTGACAGAACGTTTGAGAGTATTGACGGTGTTCAAACTGCCTGATCACGCCATAGAAAACTGCAACCAATGCCTGCTGAGCGTAGTTACATTAGTAACCACAAGTAGGCCGTGTGGGTGTTGAAGAAACACAAATGTACCTGAGCAGGCATTTATAACAGGGACTAAGAGCTCGAGCAGATGAGTGTGCAGCAATTTTTTATATATATATATATATATACACAAACACACACACACACATATATGAGTGTGTGTTTTTGTGTGTATATATATATATATATATATATATATATATATATATATATATATATAGTAACAATAATATATACAAACACAAACACACATATATACACACATGTGTGTGTGTATTATGAAATGGGCTAAGTCTGATAATTTTAATATATTTTCTATAAAAATAACGTATAAACAGAATATATATATATATATATAATATATATTATAATATTTTTTTGTTTAAAAATATGATTCCTTTGCTGCATAAGAGTTCTCATGTTTCAAAAACGAGAGCCGAAACCATCCAAATAATTATTAAAATTAAATTGAATCGAGGTGTTTAGTCCCGTTTCATCTTCAAACGAAATTTTAGGAATAAGCTATCTCTTGGTTTACGTGTGTTTTTAGGCATGGTCCGTTATAACATTCATTATTGTTGGATTCTTATCTATAGATTCATCATCTTTTGCTAAGGTTGGGTAGGGTATCTATTTCAAGGCTAATGTTGGCGGTCATCCTCTAGTTAGTTCCCAGTAGATAAGAATTTACTCTCTGACCACTTAACGAAGAAATCTAGTCTAGCCACTCCCACAATAACGAATGTTATAACGGTGCATATAACTACAACAACATTTCATATTTGGGTTAAAGAAAAAAAAAACTACGGCGCATTCCTTAACGAATTTCATTTCAGTATTCATTAGAATAAGTAGACACAATATGTCTATATTATACAATGAAACACACACACACAGACACACACACACACACACATATATATATATATATATATATATATATATATATATATATATATATATATATAGGATATTACATTAAAACATGTGAAAAAAATGCTACACAGATGCAATCATGCTTCGATGGGTATTAACACATCTCATCAGGCGTTAATAAATAACTGGTGAGTAGACAATTTATCGAGATTTAAAAACAAAATACAATCTCTTTTCACGAGAAAAGGAAAAAAAGGAAAGAGTAAAAAAAGGAAGACACTACATACACCGTCTTTTCACGAGAAAAGGAAGAAAAATATATTGTCTACTCACCAGTTTTTTTTATGAACGCCTGATGAGATGTGTTAATACATGTCGAAATATGATTGCATTTATGTAACGTTTTTTTACATGTTTGTGATGTAATATACTAAAAATAAAGAATATTGCGCTACCTTAGTATTGAGCCCACTTTTAAATTGAATATTACGAACATTGGAATTGAACTCTATTCGTTTCATTTAATAAGAAAAAACAGCAAGTACTCAAATATGAGTGCCCATTAAAAATAACGTTTAATCAAATAAATTAAAAAATCCAGTATATATATATATATATATATATATATATATATATATATATATATATATATATATATATATATATATATATATATATTCGAAATTCATATATATATATATATATATATATATATATATATATAGGATTAGATTAAATTCAACAAATTTTTTATATATATATATATATATATATATATATATATATATATATATATATATATATATATTTTAAGAAATGGACAAGGTCCGACAATTTATTTATTAAAGACATTTTTTTTTTTATGTTTAACGTTGTTATTTTATAGATACAAGTATTTAAGCAAATGCTCTGTTTATGATAAACAGTATTAAATAACATTTACCGGCTTTGTAGCCTAGAGGTAAGGCACTTCAGCGTATATGACGGTTCCGTATAGGATGCAGGTTCGAATCCTGTCAAAGAACGAATATTTTCTATGAAGATTTCTCGGACATTCAGGCCGGTAAATGTTATTTAATACTGTTTATCATAAACAGAGCATTTGCTTAAATACTTGTATCTATAAAATAACAACGTTAAACATAAAAAAAAATGTCTTTAATAAATATATATATTTGTTGAATTTAATCTAATCCAATATATATATATACTGGATTAGATAAAAACCAAAATTTTTTTTAATTTATTTGATTAAACGTTATTTTTAATGGGCACTCATATTTGAGTACATGCTGTTTTTTTTTTATTATTAAACAGTATATTTATTAATATCTACCGACTTAAATATTCGAGAAATTTTGATAGAAAAATATGCTCCATCCTGCAGGATTCGAACCTGCGTCCCGAACAACCGCCTGATCAAACTAAGGACGATTAATTTTTTTGAACACATGTTTTCCCGATTCTCGAAATATACATATCTGTTCGGTTTCGTATCTTAACGTAAACAAAGACAATGTTTTCGGAGATGGATTAAATCCGACATAATTGAGAAATCTTGTTAGAAAAATATGCACCCTACGGCAAGATTCGAACCTGCGTCCCCTAGAGGAAACTCCCATTAGATCTGAAGTGCCTTGACCTCTTGACCTATTAAACAAATAAATTAAAAAGTATGTCGGGGCGCTTTGATTTGTGTCATGGTTAGCAAGCTTGTCTCGCTAGATCAATTAAGACTAAGTAGTGAGTTCGATCCTCACTGGGTTCTCCATACTTTCGTGTGCCACATCTAAGATTTACTTTGAAAATCACTAGAGAGAGAGTGTAGCTTAATGTGGAGATATTTGTGTATGATTACTTCCTTGGTATCTGAACTTTATTAATTGTAATCAACATAAAGATAAATAAATTCTGTTTTTGATCAGGATTGCTGTCATCTGTCCGCTTTCAAGGTATTCTTCTTCTGCTTTCTTTCAGCCTGTGAATATCCTTTGTTGGGTGGAGGACTTCCTCGGATTTATGGGGAGAAACGGGTCAATGTGTGTCGGTAGGAGCAGATCTTTTCGAGTCATGATCACCTTGCGCGTAAGTGAATATACCGTAACTGACTGTAATTTCAACTGGGCGCATTGATTTCTTATTCCGAGCCGTTATCCAATGTGTTACCCAAGATTGCAGCACCTGCCATTCCCAAGCAGTCACCCATATAGATAATGACTAGAGTCAACGTTGCTTCATTTCAGTGATCGGACGAGAACCTGTGTTGCAAAGTGATATAGTCGTCAGCCCTATTTGTTGTGTCATCTCGATTTAATGACATTATGTATTGTTGTGTTGATTGATTAGTTGGTTTTGATTAAGCGGCATATCAACACCTCAATAGGTTATTCAATGCCGAAATCTAATTATTTTGTAAGCAAATATATTTATTTTTTCTATTTATTGCTGATAATAATGGTTTTAGAGATACAACTTTTACTAATTAACCCATAGCTGGGGGAGAAGAGGTGGATTCATATCTTCCCAAAGGGTATTTATGCTTAAGTGAATATAACGAAGCTGCCTGGAACTAGGATTCGGTTATCCGATTCACAATTCCGAGCCATTATCCTTTACACCACCTGCACATCCAAGCTTACAGCACATGATATTCCCTAGAGGTCACCCTTCTAGGTATTGACCAGACACAATGTTGCTTAACTTCGGTGATCGTACAGGAACCAGTGTTTTGACGTAATGCAGCTGTAAGCCTCAAATTATGTATTGGGCAATAAAATGGATCGTAAAAGAGAAAAAGAGAAAATATTTTAATTATTTGGCGAAAAAAATTCTTTCGCTCTTGATAAATATTCCTTGTTTATTTATTCTTTAAAAAATTCAAACTAGAAATGGGTATATTGGGTTTTTTTTATAATTATTATTTTGTAAATAAAAAATACAAAAGAAATTACACGCATCATTTTATACCTACGGCAGTAACGAGCGAAATCAATATGGCGTCCCCAAAGTAGATTATATTAGCGTTTCTTCTTCTTATATGTGCCGTGCGGGGGTTCACTACTTCCTAATCCTTGTAACGTTTGTCTTTTTAGCCCACTTCTCCGTTCCACTATCCATTCACCCAAGCTCGACTGGTAGGTGACCCGCTGCTTTCGCCTGTCTTTTTGCTTTAACTATGTCCTGTAAGTGCCAAATTCTCCAAGACCATTATTCTTCATTATATCAAAGACATTTAAGCAGTCACTTTCTGATTCTATGTAGAAGTGTAGATTTTCCTTAAAACTTTGTTGGCGATTCATTCAAATCATAGCAGCAGAAATTAGCCTCGTGTTCATGGAGATAAAAGCATACTTAACAGGAAATAAAACGTACACAAATAACAGAAAGGCATGGTAAATTGTGTGTTAATTTCATATAATTTATTTATATTTTTGTGTGTATTGGTGTACGTATTTTTTTAGGTTACAATTGATTTATGGTACATGCAATAAAAGGTGGAATTTACTCCGTAGTATTACAAGCAATATCACAGAGAGAAGTTACACATGTGTTGCCCGTACCAAGGTTTGTGGTGAAGAGATTGAATTTAACTTCTTTTGGCGGGATGTCCCTATGTTGCATGCTGGGAGTAGTTTCATTATTTTATTTTTTTTTTTTTGTAAATTTATTTTGTACAACGTTTTTATTTTATTGTTTTATTAATAATTTTCATTATTATTATTCTTTTTATTTATAATAATAATAGTAACCGTACAACTTCTTTGTTGCATACACGCTTCGGTATTCTCAACATCCTCCTGTAGAAATTATCCTGTTTTTTGGTACTTTGTATAGTTCTTGAAAAGCAACTTTTGACATTCCAATGCGCGTTTGGATTTGGATGTTGCTTTTTTCCATCTGTTAAGACTCTTTACAGATATTTAATTTTGGTGCTTGTTTGATAGCATCTGCTATACAAATATATTATTGGACGATAACTTGTAGAAACAGTTCTTAACAAGTATGAAGTAAGTGAATATACGCCTCGAATAGTGTTCATGTTTTCAATTGAAAATAAAATACTTGAAGATGAAATTTTTAAAAGACAATCGGTATGTATTATGAAAGTCTATGTGAAAAAATACAACTCTCTACTCCTTAACACTACCTACGAACGAAGATATTATCAATGAATGGAGTATTTGGACGTGACTTTTTTGATAAGCAATTTATTCTGAGTCATATAATGGCGACGCTGTGTTTATCACGGGGTATTTAAAAAGCAATAGCTCAAGGAAAGAAAACTGAAAAAAAAAATTCAAATAAACTCATCCTTTGGATTATTTTCAACTAATCAAAAAATTTGAAACTAGTAAGAAAACAATAAACTCCGATATACTACGTGGCTAAGAAATGGTTCCAGGTTGCACACGAAACACAAGATTTCCACGGTGATACAAGCGAAACTAAGTCACTGTTACTATAATTTTACAAGGTGTACCAACTTCTACAAATTTACTACGACGCTTTCATTCAGCACTTCTAATTCGGTAACATACTCCAGTCCTTAGTGAATATCCATGCGGAAATAAAAACATTTTAAAGTTGCACCTCCAAATATCCAGAACCTAACAGCTCATCTCTCCTTTGACCTAGCCCAGGTGGCTCAATGGAGGAAGGACTGGCTTGGAAATTTCTTACAGTCAAAACCAAACTAATAACGTTCCACCACCATCGAGCAGACCCCGAACTTTCACCTATCGTGATAAATGAGATTTCTCTCAAGAAGATTCCTTTGCCTTGAACGTCTGTTGGGATTCAGGCTACCCCCAGACCTCATGGAACGCATATATATGATCTATTGCTAAAGATGATGGAATAATGATCTGTTCATTCCACCGCTCTAGTAAGAATCTGACTGCACCTATTCTATATTTACAAGCGCCAGATCAGACAAAAGAAAATATCGTCCCTTGCTTGTCTCGATAGAGTTCAAAATCGTCTACGCGGCCTTGTGGGCGATTAACCATTTTCCATCTTACAAACCCTTTTATCCCAGACGAGACGTCCCGAGTCTTTCGCTACTCTCTCGCTATTTCCATGACATGTGTGCTGACGAGCTCCATTCATTGCTCCCACCATCCCTGACTTTTGCAGCTAACACCCACAAGAATGAACCATCTACATTCCCTTTGTACTCCATTAATAATAAGTAAATTCCACTCGGACTGCGTCTTGCTAAAAACTGGTGCTTTGTGAAACAGATTCCCGGCGTTTTCCCAACCACTACAATCTTGACCTCTTCAAGTCTTGGATTACCTGTTATCTTTCCTACATAACGGCATGAACGTAATAATTCTTGCTTTTTCTTACACTCATACAATACTACACAGTATCCCTCTTCCTTGAGTGGCTCTTGGGTCTTTCATTGTGCGAAGATTATTATAAAAAAAATTACAGACGCTTTGCTACAGTCATTGATACAGTGATTGAACTTTCAGTATATCCCACTACTAAATATATTGTTTTAATTTTATCAACTAAAGTAAGTCCCTATTTTCGCATGAATATTTTTCTCTGTAGAGCTTAATTATTAGCAGACAAAGATTATGTTGAGCAAACTTTTGCATATAAATTATTGTAAATAGACAAATTCTGGCTGTTTTCATTTCGCACTAAGAATTCTTTTTTGTTTTGTACCTAATGAATGAACTATTTTTTTATTTCATTTTTTTTATATGGGAAATCCTCTTAGTAACAATAATAATAAAATCAGTGATTGTGTTGTATATAATACCTTTCAAATATTTACATTAAGATTGAATAATAATATCAATGAAACTATGCACTTGCAACAAGTCGGTAAAAAAACTGCCTAGCAGTTGCTCAGTGATTAAAATGAACAACAAAAAAAAAAACAAAAGAACGCAAGAAATGCTTCCGTTAACTAAACTCTCTACCCTGGTCACTAGATACGACTGGATAGTGAGTTCGTTTCTCACCGGGTGTTCCATATTTTCGACCTTGTGCCACATTTGAGCTGCGCTTAGAAAATCACCATTCTTTTCCACTTTGAAAACTTATAAAAATGCTAAATGTTATTTCAAGATCGATCAGTTCCAAAGAGCTACTGCAATTTGGTTTTGAGGTGTGTCATGGAAAAAATGTGAAAATTGAAATGAATGTCTAAAGAATATACTCCCTATTGTTAATGGTAACGATAATTAACCCTTTTCTTATAAGGAAACATTCGGCATTCATTGCCCGACAGCCAGTACTACTCTCGATGGAAATTTATAAAATCTTTCTAGTAAAACGTTTTGTAGAGAAAATAGCTTCCTCAAGTTTACTACCTGTTATTGTTCTTTCTTCTACTAATTGGGGTTTCCTTCCTACTTTTGGTTTGAAATAGTTCGGAATATTAACATCTTGTGTCTTATTTTAACTTCAAGTTACATGTGATATCCACTTTAGTTGTGGTTGCTGTTGGAGTTAAGGCTTAGAGGGTTGAGCAACCGCATATTTTTATCCAAAAAGTGACTTTATTTTTCATTTAAATACTAATATAAACATTCTGTTAATGTTGCTTTCAAATAAAACAAACTTAGATAAATGTGCATTAACCTTTTTTCAAATTATTATTAATAAAAAAAAGTAAATTAAAATAAGATATATTTAAACATTTAATTTAATCATTTTTCAAGTAAAAAGTATAGGGAACCTTACTTCTTCGAAAAATAATTATTTACCATTTATTTTGGAGGGAAATTTAGATTTTTTAAATAAACAAAGTTTTATTTTTAAACATCACATTAAAGAAGCAAACATTTCTCTGTAAATGGATTTAATTACTATTTTGAAAGCAAGGAGAAGCAAGATACAATGAGAATTTAGTTTTGAAAAGTGATTATGTTAAATTTCAAGTTATATTTGTATTTGAAAACACAAATACATTAGTTAAATAAAAGTTAGAGGAGACAGGCATTATTTACAGTCAACATTAGTCGTGCTGAATATCTTCTATGAATTTAACTAAATTTTATTGAAATTAATTTTCGAAAATTATGATGAAAGATACTTGAATATTCATCTGCCTTTAGGATTTAAAGTTTCATATAAAGAGAAGCGAGCATCAACAATCACATTCTTCAGACAGTCAGGAAGTATATATATATATATATATATATATATATATATATATATATATATATATATATATATATATATATATATGCTCATTACTTAGTGGAAAGTGCTTAATATCGATGATAGTGCTAACATATTCAGTTGTATGGTTATTAGTTTGTGACTCTGGGTTTCACACTTTTGCAATCATCAGATAAACTGGTTTACTTTTAAAAACGAATCTATTTATGCTTATTTTTGTTTGATTATGTTTGTTGATGGGAGGAGGAATTTTCTTCTGTGTTTGTTTGTTTGGGATGACACTCTCACACACATAGACACACGTACATACAGGTGTACGCATTTTAGTTCAAACGAACACACTCATATAAGTGGGAACTCTCAGACTAATGGGAGTGTATATGCGCGTCTACATGTGTGTGTGTGCGTGTGTGTGTGTGTGTGTGTGTGTGTGTGTGTGTGTGTGTGTGTGTGTGTGTGTGTGTGTGTGTGAGGAAATGTAAGTTTTTCTGACGGCGCAGAAAAAGTGTCAAGACCGCCCACATCTTCCTTGTTGAGAGAACATCGCTACATATAAAGATCTCGACACCGAAATAGAATTACAATT